TTTTAGTTAGATTTCATCGTCTCTAATAACTTTATAAATTAACAGTAATTAAAGAACCTTTGAGAGATGTCGTACAGACATTTTGGTTTGTATGAAAGTGTGTAAAGTGTAACAGGAGATTTGTAAATATGTAAGTGAACAAACTGTGTGAAGCATCTTCTTCTGTGCAAATACATTTGTAACGTTTTTCCGAACTGGGTGCTCGTGTTTATTTATGCGGAGAGTCCAGAAAAAGTTCCAACTTTTTAAAATGCGGGAGCCTCTAAGAGAAGAAAAGTGTCGAATAAAAAGAATCCTGTTAGAGATTCAAGAAAAAGGATATAAAGAAGATTTGTTTCCATTAACCAACACTGTTCCAGGGTTTTGTTCAATTTCAGAAATTTATAGATTTAAAAATAAAAATATTACTTAATGAACTGAGTTTAAACATTTAGTCTGCAAATTCCACGGTCTGTTATTTATTTATGTGATTAGTTATGACCAATGACTGTATATGGTTATGACTGTGTTCTTCATGCTTTTAATGTGTTATTTTAGTACTGAATGACACAGCGACCCCTAGGAGTTGGTTCTCGACATTGCATGTAATAGCATCTTTCCCAACATTTCTTTTTCTCAAAAACTTTGAGAACTCTTGATTACAGTTCACAAATAACATAAACATTTAGGCGTTTGTCTAAAAGTGCCTGAATAACAAAATATCAGTGTTGAAAAGTTTTCTTTAAACGCAGAAATCTTCTGATTTACATTCTTAGACAATAACCTGCGTTTGTCTTTTGTAAATAAAGTTTTTAAAAAACATAGACACCCCTTACCGGAAGTTGGTGTATTTGACCTCCATAATAAAGGTGACACGTTGTCTAGCAAAAAGGGCTACTAATTGTGATAAACGTGGGGACAAAAATCTTATATTAAAGGATATAACATTTTTAAACATTTAAAAATAAAATTAACACTTTTGTGGGATGTGCACCCCATACTGCTTTACTCTGTTCATTTTATTGTCATACAAACAGTAAATGCATTCATTTCTAAAGGTTTTTAGGTGTGTGCGACACAGGCTTCACAATTTTAGTTAAAGACTATACAGAGAAAAATTACTGTGCTCCATAATAAAAGACAACTGAAGAAGAATTGTGTGTTTACTTTCATTTGCAGTTAGAATAAGATATTAAATAAACTTAAACGTAATCTTGATTCAGTACAAACTGATCGATGAGCATTTTTTTTTTCCACTTTTTAGTTTAGTGCCGATGGCTATTTTATTTTGAAATCCTAACCGGAAACCCTTGCCCTGTTACGGCTAACCAAACTAGCTTAACCTCACCGCTTTTAGCTATCCATGACAGCGGCTCAGGGGTGTCGTTGTTGTTGTTTTTATTATCTAAATCGGTAACTTAGTCACGTTTTAGCCGCCGAAGAGACTCCTTTGCTTTAAATTTCCTCCAGGATGATTCCTACGGAGGATGCGTCCGCCAGGAAGCGGGAGATCGAGGAGAAACTGAAGCAGGTCAGACAGCTGGTGGCTTGAGAGGAAGGAAGCTTCCCTTCGAGCTACAACCCACCAGTGTAGCTCAACACCCGCGATTAAAATGATGCTTATTGACCGAAAGAGTGTCTTTAATGTCTTCAGAGTGAAATGAGTGAGTGGTTGGTTTTCTTTCTGCTGTTACAGGAGCAGGAGACGCTGTCGTTCATCCGGGAGAACCTGGAAAAGAGCGATCAGCTGACCAAAAACATGGTAGGACGGTCCAAACACACCCAGGGACAGCTCAGGCTGACACTCATAATTCTCATAAGTAAAGGCGGTGGACGGATCTCTATTCGATAGTACTTTAACCCAGAATTAAAAATAAAGCCTCTTATTCTTGTACTTGGATTGAAATATTTACTTATAGTTTCTATCATTTCTATTATGAACATGAAGAGTGAGTGAGATGATGAAAGCAGCCTGTGATGTCATTTTTCAGCTTTCACCCCACTTCAGCTGAATCTCTTATATGACTCATTATTTAAGCTGCTTTTATAGCCCAACTGGTTTTTGACCTGTATTTCTTTCCCAAAAGGTCTCCATCCTGTCTTCATTCGAGAGCCGCCTGATGCAGCTGGAGAACTCCATCATCCCGGTTCACAAGCAGACGGAAAACCTGCAACGGCTGCAGGAGAACGTGGACAAAACTCTGTCTTGCATGGATCACGTCATCAGCTACTACCACGTGGCCAAAGACACGGACAGGATCATCAGAGAGGGGTGGGGATGACCTCCGTATGCAAATGTTTCGTGGTTACACAAACTGTATGTATACTAATTTTCATTTTCTGTCTCAGACCTACGGGCAGACTGGACGAGTATCTTGCTTGCATTGCAAGAATTCAGAAAGCCGTCGAATACTTTCAAGACAACAACCCAGACAGCCCTGAGCTCAACACAGTGGTAAAGCATCTGCCTCTCTGAAATTACAGTTGTGGTAAAAACGTTTACAATCCACTCATCATGGGTGCGAATGTCATGGAAAGTTTGGGCTTTTATTAATTCCATTCCAAAACCAGTGTTGATGTGTTTTCCAGTCTGAACACTAAGTCCAAGTTTTAACAGTTTAGTTGTTGATATGAGGTGAAGTAATAATTTGGAAGTAGTCCTCCTTTTTCATTATTCCATCCAGATGTGAGCACCACTGGGAACAAAGCAGCCCCATAGCATGATGCTACACCACCATGCTTGATACTGGCTATCAAGCATGGTGTTACAGTGTTAATAGGTTAGAAAGTGTCACCTTTAGTCCTCCAGGCACACCTTTTGTCATTGTGGCCAAAGAGCATCAGACTTTTCTACCTTCTAAGGCATTTGGCTCGTCCATGCGGGCAGATGCAAATTTCAGTCAAGGTGTGTTGATTTGGGCTTCTTCATTGGTTGACACCTTCTCAGTCCATGGTGATGTAAAACTCGCTTCTTGCTGGACAGTGATGTGGTGTCCAGCTGACCCCGGTTCATGCCAGGCTTGAACGTTGGTGGTTTCTGTGAAACACATCTTTTTATATACTGGCAAAGAGAAACTACCAGTCGTAGTTAATCATGAGAAAGTAATAGGTTTTGGCCTTATCAATTTAAAAGACATTATTGGACCTTCATCACTGCTTAGTAAAAGCTTAAAGTGACTGTATTTATATATTTAAGGCTATATGGACTTCTTGGAAAGAGATGGACCACCCTGGAGAATTAAAAGCCCCAAATAACTCACATTTGTGCCCATGATGTGATTGACTTTCTGTTTTTGGAGATCTAACGAGGTCGATCTGCTGACATAACGTTTCAATCCCGACAGATTCTGTGTCCTTGTGTTTTTTCTAGCGAAATACATAAAATGATCCGATCGCAGCTTTTTCTGAGAGTTCAGATTTCTGTACGGTATTCTCGACCATTTCCTGTTTGCGTCCAAATGTGTCGTGGTTCTCACAGTACTACAGTGAAAATATCCCTTTTAGCCACTTGTGTCTGAAAGAGGAAAAGCTATCTGAGCCATTAGCTCCACGTATTTAGTGACTGAACAACATTATACACCGCGGAGCTCTCTGAATGACTCATGCTGTTATTCCTACATTCATTTATGTGTAAATTTCATGCACGTTTTCCTCACTGCAGACGTCTGCTTCAGTCTCCGTGCCGTTCCGAGTTGGAGTCACTAATTCCATGACCGTATCTTCTTCTGCAGAAAGCACGCTTTGAAAAGGGGAAGGAGCTGCTGGAGGGCGAATTCCGCAGCCTCCTGACCCGCTACAGCAAACCTGTCCCCCCCATCCTCATCCTGGACGCCATCAGCGTGGATGAGGAGCTGGAGGTCCAGGAGGATGTGATGCTGGAACACCTGCCCGAGGCCGTGCTCCAGGACATCATCTGCATCGCCGGCTGGCTGGTGGAATACGGACGTAATCAGGGTACAGCTGTGTTTGTTTGTTGGAGGTCTCTTCCTGTTTAAAGGAAGTTCTTTAACACAATTGCAAAAATCATCTGATTGTTGGGCTTTTCTGTCTAATATTGGAGCTCCTCTACCTTACAATCTATAAATCATCTTACCAGCAGAGCTGGGGTGATGTAAATGATTAAACTGGCTTTGAAATGTGCAGGCGGTGTAGAGAAACTGGAAAGATTGTGTCTAATTTTGCTCTCCTCTTCCTGCAGACTTCATGAACGTCTACTTTCAGATCCGCTCCAACCAGCTCGATCGCTCCATCAAAGGCCTCAAAGACCATTTCCGCAAGAACAGCGCCTCCTCCGGTGTCCTCTACTCGCCCGCCGTCCAAACCAAGCGCAAGGACACGCCAACTAAAAAGGCCCCGAAGAGACCAGGTCAGCAACAGATGCGCCTCATTCAGAGCGAATCCACAATCACGCCACTTCAGTCTGTAATCCCAACTCGCTGTCCAATCCGTCTTCCATAGATCAACCTAACAAACACGCATGATCCCGCATAGTGACGGATATTATACACTCTTCACTACATCCACAGTCTGTTTCTGTCTCAGGTTGTCCTCCACAATCGCTCTGTAATCACTCAGTTCGCCGAGCTGTAGCGCACTCCTACCACACACTGTGTTTCTCTGTGATGTTACACCCTGGTCTGACTAATCCTTCATCCTCTCCTCTTTCATAATCCCTGTGTTGTGATGACAGTCTACATCCCAGGTAAACACAAAGCTCTAGCGTGTGCCTCGTGCTTGCTTGTATACGTCAGATGCCACGTTTCACAAATCGGAGACGGCGTGATGGTTTGTGTCGTTTTCTTAGCAGCTGAGACAGCAGAGGTTTATTTGTCCTGTTGAATGGTGCAGTAGGTGATCCAGTGGAGATTTTAACCTCTAGTTTCACGGCAGAGCGTTTCGGTGATGAGACGAGTGAGGTGGAGGTTGCCACCAAACCGCCGATAAACAAAACTTGATGAAATTTCTTTACAATTTTACTAGAAATGAATAATTTAT